CCCGGTGGGCGGGGAGGGGGCTTCAAGCTTCCAGAGCTCCTGCCACACCTCTCCCCCGGAGCCCCCTAAATGGGCCCAGTGGCCACTTGAAGGAAGGATGGGCAAATCCGGGTCTGAGAGGTGAGTACCATCCGCCGCCTGAGGGCAGGGGTGGGCTGAGGTGGGAAATAGGTCAGCAGCCTCATCTGGGGGGGAACTCAGGGGCCCCCCTGGTCTCTCAGATGGTGTCAGAGCTTGGTGGATGCCAGAAATCTGGCGGCTGGGGAAGGTGGACATGGTGCGTTGGGGCATGGTCTAGCATGGCCACTGGCCTATGTGCTGGGCACCTGTTGTCCAGAGTAATCAGACGCTTGTCTTGAGTTTTTATTTTATTTTTTTGTGGTGGCCATGATATCAAAGCCCAGTATGTCATTTAATACGAATTTTCTTTCTTTTTTGTTTCAGGAGTAAAAAAAGGTTTGTATTGTGTGTGTGTGTTTAACTGTTTCTAGAAAGTGGGGACCTCATCACTCAATGTCTTTGCCTTTTCAGCCGTCCTCAGCCCCGGGGGCTGCCTCTGTTCTCTGTGAGTGGGGAGAAAGCCCCTCTGGTTGGATTTGGTGGGACCCAGGGCAGCCAGGACTTCCCTGTCAGGTGGTGTAGGAGGCCATGGCCACTACTGTGCTCTCAGCCCCACTGGTCTCCCTGTGTGTGCACGCACACGTGCGTGTCACTGTGGAAAACGTGTGCACCATAGTGGGTATTGGGGCTCCCCACTGAAGGACAGGTCTGATTATTTGGTGACAAATTATCCCTTTGGCCTTAACTAAGGAGTGGTCCCGTTGACCCTCCTCCAGCGCTGACCTGGGCTGCAGGGACATGAGAGGCCATCCATCCACCCCCCAGCCACTCAGGACAGCCCCTACCAAGTAGGCATGTAGGTTTGCCCTGGGGGTCCACTCTCTGGTACCCCAAGGCCTGCCTGAACAAGACCCCGGTGCTGGGAGTGGCCTCCTCACCATGACCCCAGGCTCTGGCCCAAGAGAATTCACACCACGGGATGCGAGCCCCGGAAGAGTGTCATCTGGGAACAGATGGGATTTTAGGAGCCAAGGGCCCTTGGAGATTGTGTCTTGTTGCCCCTTACACTCCCCTTCTCTCTTGCCATATCCCAATCCCAGACAAGGAAACTGAACCTGTGAGAGGGGTGTGCAGCCAGTCAGCCTGGGACTGGTTGGGGTGGGGACAGGCCCAGAGATAGAGCAGAGGCCCTGGCTCTAAACCTGGAGACCCTGACCATGATCTCTTGGTGCTGCCATCAGGGCTAGATGCCTAGAACAGATGGACGGGTGCGTGAAGGCCAGTCACCCTTGGGGACCAGGGAGGCCGTAGGGCATGAGGCCAGTGTGGAATGTGGAGGGCTCGGAAGTCAGGGGTCAGGAGAGGATGTGGCTTTCCTGAGGGTGAGTGGGGAGGGGTAGGCTTGCCAGGGGGATGGGAAGTCAGGACCCTGGAGAGCCCCTGACCTATGACCCTGAGGTCTGCTTGGTGACCTCAAGGGAGTGCCTTCAGGGGAGATTCCTGTGCTGAGGGGACAGCCCTGGGTGCCAGGCCCACAGGCCCAGCTGCAGCTCTGGGTGAGGCCAGGAGTGGTCCCTGTGCAGGGTGCTCATCGAGGTCTGAAGCTGCTGCTGGGTGGGGGGACCCCGAGGCCAGGCAGGGGGCCCTGGGTGAGCAAGTGTGGGATGGTGGCATGAGTGAGCGCTGAGGGAGCCAGTGCCCCTCCCTCCAGCCTCCCCTCCCCCCACACTGCACTTATCCCGTGGGACCCTCCCCCTTCTCAGGGCTGTGCACTCTCAGAAGAGCCATTTTGCCACTTTAGGGCAGTGTGAGGACCTTGGCTTTCTCCATTGGGTGGGGGACAGTCGGGGGAGAGTTAGAAACTGCGGCTCCTTGCTTCTCAGACCCTGAGTTAGGAGGCAGAGTACAACCTGCCCACCCCTCATTTCTCGTGGGGGAGGAAGGCCCAGGCCAGAGGTAGGACTTGGGTTTCTGGGGTCCCTACTCTGGGCCCTCAAGAAGAGGCAGTTCCCAGTGTTCCCCCTTCCTGGATTGTGTGCCAGGCGCCAGGCAGGGCCTGTTTCAGGGGGAGTTCCGCCCTACCATCTCCCCTCTCCTCCTCTCCCCCCTCCTCCATCTTGTCTGCCCCCCCAACCCCCGCCCAATCTCCATCTTCAGAACAAATTACAAAGTCAGATAATCTTTTCTTCTGCTTTATTTTGGGGTAGAATGGGGGGGCATGCAGGGAAGGGTCTCATCCCCGTGGCAGAAAGCAGTGGTCTGGTAGGAACACTCTCAGCAACTCAGCAAAGTCTCTGGGGGTCTCACATGTCCTCAGTCTCTTTTGGAGCCCCCTGTGCTGTCAGCGCTGGGAGGGGGTTCGGGAGCCCTCAGTGTCCTGTGGAGTCAGGGGGACTCTCAAGGTTGCAAGCCCGGTAAGTACTGGTGCGATGGGACGTTCCGTGGAGCACACTGTCCAGGTAAGAGGCAGAGTCAGGGTCAGGCAGTGAGTGCGGAATGGGCTGGACCAGACTGTGGGGGTGGCTCGCTTTGCAGGGGGTGGTGGGGGTGGGATGGGGACGGCACCACAGCACGTGAAGATGTGGGAGTGGGGTCGGGTCCAGGGGAGCAGGAGCACCGGAGCTGGAGGTAGAAGTCAGTGGAGCACCCGAGGTCAGTGTCCCAGGATGGCACAAGGTGGCCATGTTGCCACTTCAGCGGGGTGGGTCTCTGGCATCTGCTTGCTTGGCTGCTTCTGCTGTGCCTGATTCCTCACCTGGCCTGGGGTCATGGGGTCATTTCTGCTCATCACTGCTTTCTCCTATCATTGATCTCACTCCCAGTGGTGGGCCTGGGACCTGGAGAATTAAGACGGAAGGAATGTGTAGCCCTGAGCTGGCTCTGGGTCTCTGATGACTGGCTAGTCTGTTGGCACTGTAGATGTTGCTGGTTGATGAGTGGAAGAGATCATGGCTCTTCTTGAGTGGGTTCCCCTTGAGTCAGGAGTGGCAGGAGGAGCGCTGGGTCCGAGCGAAGCAGACTGAGGCACAGGGAGGCCGAGTGGAGGTTGTGCTGGGTGTCTGGCGCAGAGGAGTGGAGGGTTTGTTGCTGGTGAGGAAGTGTTTTCAGTTATGGTCTGAGTCCTCATCATCCTCAGGGAGCTCCTCTAGCCTTGCTCCGCCCCTGGCCTGTCTGCCTCGGAGGGGGACTGGATCCTCTGCGCAGATCATGGCCAGGAAGTGGGCCAGGCTCCTGGCCGCAGGGTCCTGATGAGGCAGATTGGGTTGATCTCGGTCCCCATACAACTGTCTATACAGGCTGTCGAGGATTCCACCAGAGGCCCGTGGTGGGGCTGGGGGGGTAGGGGAGGGGTCGGCCGCCGCAGCCTCCTGCATCTGGTCCTCTATCTCTTCGTCCCCTCCCTCGTTAGCTTCCTCCTCCTGGACCCCTTGCGCGCCGTCGTCCTGCACGTCGTCCTCCGCCTGCGCGTCCTGCGAGGTGTCTTGCAGGCCGTCATGCAGGCCACACTGACGGTAACGTTGCAGGTCGTCTTGCAGGGCTTCTCGCAAGACGACATCACTCCCGATGACGTGCAGCTCCAGGTAGTGGCTCCTCCCCTGCAGGAGGGGCTGGGATCTTTCTCTGGGAGCGACTCTGACACAGAAGCGCTCGCACAGCATTGTCCAGAACTCAGATGGGAGGGGTAGGAGCCGGGCGCCCCGGGCAGCAGGGCCCTCTGTTCGGCCTGTTCCTCAGCCCGGATGTGACAGTGCCCACGAGAGGGGGCATCTGGGTCAGCAGCTGGGTGATGGCCGTGGCGATGCCACGGTTTGTGAGGAGGGACGAGTCCAGAATGAGGCGCAGGGAGCGCGTGGCTGGCAGTAGTGCCACTTGCAGAGTGGGTGCGGGCAGCAGCGGGAGGTGCTGCTTCATCTTCAGTATCGCCAGCACGGCCATGGGGGCCAGGGCTTCCTGACTGATATGCAGGTCTCGGAAGAAGTGCAGAAAGAGGCTCCTCATCTGGTCCATGTTGAGGTGGCCAAGGAGGTTGCTGAGTATTTGGTCCATTTGTAACGGAGTCAGGGCCTCTTGCTGTTGGCTCTGCCTACTTGGCCCTTCCTGGGAGGTACATGTTCATTCTCCTTTTGCTCCCCCAGTTCTGGGAGTTGATCCCTGAGGGACCCTTCTGTGGTGACAGGACTCAGAGCCCAGGTGGCAGTGTGGGCCCGGGTGTCAGCGAGGGCCCGGGTGTCAGCGAGGGCCCGGGTGGCAGTGCGGGCCCGGGTGTCAGTGAGGGCCCACGTGTCAGCGAGGGCCCGGGTGTCAGTGAGGCCCCGGGTGGCAGCGAGGGCCCGGGTGTCAGTGAGGCCCCGGGTGGCAGCGAGGGCCCGGGTGTCAGTGAGGCCCCGGGTGTCAGTGAGGGCCCGGGTGTCAGTGAGGGCCCGGGTGGCAGTGCGGGCCCGGGTGTCAGTGAGGGCCCATGTGTCAGTGTGAGCCCGGGTGTCAGCAAGGGCCCGGGTGTCAGTGAGGGCCCGGGTGTCAGTGAGGGCCCATGTGTCAGTGTGAGCCCGGGTGTCAGCAAGGGCCCGGGTGGCAGCGAGGGCCTGGGTGTCAGTGAGGGCCCAGGTGTCACTGTGGGCCCGGGTGTCAGCGAGGGCCCGGGTGTCAGTGTGGGGCCACGTGTCAGTGAGGGCCCACGTGTCAGTGCGGGCCCGGGTGTCAGTGCGGGCCCTGGTGTCTGTGAGGGGCCACGTGTCAGTGTGGGCCCGGGTGTCAGTGTGGGCCCGGGTGGCAGTGTGGGCCCGGGTGTCAGTGCGGGCCCGGGTGTCAGTGCGGGCCCGGGTGTCAGTGCGGGCCCGGGTGGCAGTGTGGGTCTGGGTGTCAGTGCGGGCCCGGGTGTCAGTGCGGGCCCGGGTGTCAGTGAGGGCCCGGGTGTCAGTGAGGGCCCGGGTGGCAGTGCGGGCCCGGGTGGCAGTGCGGGCCCGGGTGGCAGTGCGGGCCCGGGTGGCAGTGTGGGTCTGGGTGTCAGTGCGGGCCTGGGTGGCAGTGCGGGCCTGGGTGGCAGTGTGGGCCCGGGTGGCAGTGCGGGCCCGGGTGGCAGTGTGGGTCTGGGTGGCAGTGCGAGCCCGGGTGGCAGTGCGGGCCCGGGTGGCAGTGCGGGCCCGGGTGGCAGTGTGGGTCTGGGTGGCAGTGTGGGCCCGGGTGGCAGTGCGGGCCCGGGTGGCAATGTGGGCCCGGAGAGGCCCACGGTTGGGGTTCTGCAGCGGCAGAGAACTGCTGCCATCTTGTTCGGGCCTCTCCATGACATCGCAATGGAAGCGGCCGAAGAACTTGGCCCACTGCCCCGGGAGAATTACGGTGAGCCTGTCATTATTCAGGGAGGCTAGATCCTCTGTATTGAGAAGGATCATGATGGGCTCCTCGGTGCTCTCCAGGTAGCAAGACCACACATCCAAGGCAGCCTTAATCGCAATAGTCTTCATCATCAGCGGAGAGGAGTTGGCCTCCTCAGGAGAGAGGTCGCGGGAGAAGAAAGCGCAGAACACTCTTTTGCCGGTTTGCTCATCGACTTGCATGAGGGAGGCGTACAGAGCGGTCATGTTGACTCCTGTGTCCAAGTAGAACTGCTTGTGGCGCTTCGGGTGATGGAGGAGGGGTGCCTTGCGGAAAGCCCGCTTCACGCTTTCGAAGGCCTCCTGCTCCTCGTCACCCCAGTGGAAGGGGTTGGTGGTCAGCAGCTGCCGCCGCAGGGGCTCCGTGATGGCAGCGAAGCGCTCCACGAAGTGGCAGTAGGGGGACATCAGCTCCATCAGGTTTTGCAGGGACTCCTTCGAGAGAGGGATCGGGTAATCCCTGATGGTCTTCACGACGCTCTTGTTCAGCCTCACCCCTTTGGGAGTCAGGACAAAGCCCATGAATTCGACAGTGTGTTGGTGGAACTGGCTCCTGTCCAGTGAGCAGTAGACGTGGTGGTGTCGGAAGCGGACCAGGACTTGGCGGATGTGCCGGAGGTGCGCCTCCTGGCTCATTGAGTAGATCACGACCTCGTTCCCGTAGGAGAGCACGCATTTGCCCAGCAGGTCTTTCAGGATGCAGTGCATTACGCTCTGAGGGATGAGAGGGTCTGAGCAGATCTCAAAGGGCTGATAGCTTGTCTTCTTTTGAAGCTCCAAACCAAACGCTACTTTCCATAGCTCTTCTGCTGCCTTTTTCTTGCCTTCCTCCACAATGCTCCCACGCAGCTCCAGCCTTGTGAACCACGTAGCTCCATGTAACTGTTGGAACAGTTCTGGAATTATCTGTTTATCCTCCTGCGATTCCTCCTCTTCATTCCCCAGCCTGGCTGTTTCTTGCATCCCAGCACCCACAGGTTCCGGAGGAGCCACAGAGGGACACGTGTCGGCGGTGTTGCTGTGATCACTGTCTCCAGCCTGCTGAAGCTCAGAGGGCTCTGATTCAGAAAGATCATCGGATCCGTCTGAGCTTGGCTGGTCGGAAGTCTCATCATCTGCTTTCTTCGGGTTGAACACGTCGGCAAGGTCGGAATACTGGGGCAACAGTCCGGGCAGCAGGCTTATGGCATGTCTCTCGAGTGTGGTCGATGGTGGGAGTGGGCTGAAGCAGTTCTTCAGGCAGTAGGGAGAGTGGAAGGTGCAGCGGCCTCTGGCCCAGTCGATATCGGGGGAGTGGACTCGGAGCCAGTTGATGCCCAGGACCACGGAGAAGTTGGGTGAAGGAACGATGTCGAATTCAATAAGCTCATGGTGGTTCTGATGAAAGCATACCAGAGGCTCGGTGTGCAGCCAAACGGGCTCGTTGCCAATCAGGGAGCCATCCATGGTGTGGATGGACTGTGGGTAGGGCTTCTCGAACAACTCAACGTAGTGCTCTTGGGCAAATTTCTCATCCATGAAGTTGGAGCTTGCCCCCGAGTCCACCAGCGCCTGTACCGCGACACTGTGGTAAGGGTTCACTCTCACCATGAGCAGCAGGAAGACGTGCCTGCGATCGATATCGGGCTGGATTTCGTAGGTCAGCCAGCTGCTGACCGGCCACTTCTCTGGAGCAGGTGAGTCCATCTTGGCCAGGTTCCGAGAGTGGGTCTCTGGACGCATCCTGAGCATGGCCTTTCTCTCTGCCAGGTTCTCTTCTATCTGCAGGACGAGGGCCATCAGACTGTCCAGCGAATCTGGCTGAGGGAGCTGGAACAGATACTGCCTGATCTCCTCGTTGAGCCCCAGGCACAGGTGGGCCTGCAGGACTTCGTCTGGCCAACCCAAGGTGGGTACCAGCTCCCGGAACTCGTCGATGTAGTCAATGGCGGCGCGATCCCCTTGCGTGATGTTGAGCATGGTGTCTTCTGCCACACGCAGCTCCTCCTTGTAGTGGAACATGTTTGTCATGGCCTCCATGAAGGCTGGGTAGTTGGTAAGCAGGGGGCTTCTTTGCCGCTTCAGATTTTGGGCCCATTCGAGGGCCGTGTCTGAGAGGTGACTGATGACGAACCTCACTCGCCGGCGGTCGTTGCGGAACTTTCTTGGGTAGCCTTGTATGATCATGTGGCAGTGCACGAAGAACTCCGGGTAATCTCTTCGATCGCCCGAGAAGATTTGCGGTTCTGGCACGCGGCCTATTCTGATCGCTTTCATCAGGATCTCTATTGCTATTTTTTGCTGCTCTTTGAGGTCTTGCATCCAGAAGTACATAGAGGTGAAGGAGCTGACCCTGCCCCTTAATTCCAACTCACCGGGCTCCTCCTCCTCCTCCTCCTCGTCTTCACTTAGGTCAGTGTCGTCGTCTTCTTCGTCCAGCTCTCCCTCATTGACTGATGCTTCTTCCATCTCACCAGGCGCCTCACCGATGGGATCCCCCACTTCCTGACGGGAAGCCTTGCATGACTCCTCCAGGTCTTGGAGTAGGTCATTGGGTGGATCCTTTATTTCACTATGTTGGCCACTGGATGGCTCCTCCATGTCTTGGAGGAGGTCAATGGGCAGCTCTCCCATTTCCTGGGCTGGGCCTTGAGCCAGCCCCGCCGCCTCCTGTACTCCGCCTTCTATCTCCATGGTGGTGTTGGATGAGCCCTCAGAGGACTCCATTTGTTTTGATGATGGATTCTTACGCTCCATCATCGTCTCAAATGAGTCTTCAGAGGGTTCTATCATTTCGTCGGATGGAAAGAAGTGTTCTCTGAAGACTGGTAAGGTGGTGATGCGTCCAGTCAGTGACTGGGATCACAGCGATCAGAACCTGGTGGGGGTAGGGAGATGGGCAGGAAAGGCAGTGGTTTAGGGTCTCACGAGGTCAGGGTCAGATTCCCCAGGACAAATCAGATTTCCAACACATTAGAACAGAGAGAAACTGGGGAAGCCTTCGGGTCCCACGTGTGGTGCCCACAGGGAAAGAATAGAGAATATGTGTCAACCCCTGACCTTCTTGCCTACTCTCTCCCAGGCTTCCTCTGCCTATCTGGCCTGCCTACTTCCCAACGGCTGTGAGAAATTCACAGCCCATAAATTTGGTGGGGTGATGGGCCCAGAGCACCGTCGCCGGCAGGCACCTGGCAGAACACACTGGCCACTTCATTCCACCCTGGCACACGTGCCTGGTCAATGCTCCTTCCCTCCTGTGGTCACCCGAAAGCCACTGAGCTCACATGTCAGTGCTGTCCAAAGCCAGCTCTGCAGGCCAAGTGCTCTGGAGCAAGCTTGGCCTTGGTGTGAGGCAAGAGCCTCTAGCAGGGATGCCTGCTATTTAACAAGTTCAGGGGAAAATGGGCACTTTTCCACTATCCTGTCAGCTGGCTCAACTGCCCCAAATAGCTTTATTTCCTCCCCTAAATTCAGAGTAGAAATTGGGGGGCAGGGGTGCTGGATATAGAGCTCTGGATTCTGGGTTTTATTTTTCCCATAAATATTTAGAAAACAATGAGGAGGTGCCAGAGATTTGCACGTTGCGATGTGATCCTAACTTGGAATTTTTGGGCTAATTTCTCTTCCTCTCTTTCATCAACTTGCATTGCTGTGTTTTCCTCAACTCCGAGTTGTTGAGGAAACCTGCCAGTCATCTCCCCACCCCCCCTAAAATCTCTACTTTCCCTGGATTGCCCTCTCTGTCTGTGGGGTTCAGGAACTTCCAAAAGTTTGGCCTCAGTTCTACACGTGCAAAACGTATTGACTTGCCCTCCCCTCTACCCCCCTTACTGGGTAGGGCTGACCCCTTCACTCCAGCAGACAGACCCTCTCTGTTGCTGGTTGGTTTTCCCCTAACATAGGGGTGTATCCAGTTGAGTTGGGATATTGAGTGAGGAGTAGGGGTGGGAGGTCTCTTTGACATCTGATTGTCTTGGAGTGGACTTTTGAAAATCTAGTCCTGGTGTTTTTAGTGGACCAAGACTGGATGGAAAGCGATGTTTCGGGACGGGTTTTGCACATTTCTTCTCTGCTGGGGCACAGCAAACAGTTCTGGTCATTCAATAGGTTAGCTCTACGGTTACTGCTGTTACTTGTGGAACACCTTTTGGTACTTCTCGGTTTTCTCCATTAAAAACAAACATTCATGCCCTTCTGTAAAACTCTTCATTGCCTAATCTCCAAACCATCCAATGAGATACAAAATTCTGATCTGCTGTTTCTCAAAATTAAGTAAATCATCCTTAGCATGACAGTTAAATTTGATCCTGCAGGACCTCTGATTAAAACTCTTGTTGTTTCTTTACTGTCTACATTATTAAGTCCAAATCTTTTTGCATAAAATTCCTGACACATAAACTCCCCAAAATCATTTTCTGGCTAAAATTTTAAGGCCATAGAATAATAGAAAATTCTGATCATGCTATTTCTCAAGGTAGATATTATATTTTTTTTAGCATAAAATCTCCTCATCACCATCTTCTTCATCATCATCATCTCCATCACCATCAGCATCTACATCATAGAATACCTTGCATAAATTAACTTATTTTCTCTTCATAAAAAGCTTTGTGTCATTATTGTAAAATTACAAGTCTGTGGTATAAAGTTCTAATTGAAATACTAAATTTGACTAAGTAATTCACCTAATTTTCTATTAGGAATAAAAATCTCAGTATGTCTCTTAAGACCCATAAAACCCTCTTTTGGCTAAAATTTTAAATTAAAAAATTTAAATTGGTTAAAATATAACATTTAAAATATAAAAACCTCAGCATCTCACTAAAAAACACTTAAAACTATTCATTGGCTAATATTTAAAATAAAAAATTGATAAAATTTAAAATCTCATGTCTTTTAAAACCATTGGCAGATATAAATTTAAATTGATTAAAATTTAAAATCTCAATATGTTTCCTATTATTAATATTAAAAATTTTAATATTTAAAATTTTAATTGATTAAAATTTTATTTTAGTATATCAAAGTCCTTAAAACTCTGTTGGCTAAAATTTAAACTCCTTAGCAAGATGATTTAAAAACTATAGATCATATACCCCTTCTTTAATATAAAGTCTACAATTATTAATGTATTTACAAACTTGATGATGCAATTGATTAAGCCCTTAAACTTTCTTGTCCTTAACCTAAAATCAACTGTCCTCAGTATGTCATAAAAACTCATCTTAATAATCCTTTTAATATCAAAGTTTAAACTTTTAACAAGATGCATAAATGTTACCTCATAACCTCTCTATTTAAAGGTTGCAAATGTTTTTTTTCACCGTTTATAAAATATGAAGTTTCAATCACTTGCCATAAAACAAAATTTTTTTACCATGTAATTTATTTTCAATCTGACGGATATAGAACCCAAAGTCTTACCTAACTACTTCTTAAACTCTTTATTGACTTAATTCCAAACTTCTAAGCATGATACAAAAACCTGACCATGTCATTTCTCAAAATAAAAGGTCACACTCCTTTGCCGGACACTTTAATTTGGTCCTGTAACTTCTGTGGAAAAGCCTATAATATTTCTTAATCACCTTTAAGACAATATCTAAACTCCTTGGAATACAATAAACATTTTATTTTGTAATTTCTAGGCACACTGCTCTTATCAAACACAGAAATTTCGCCATGTCCTTCTTTAAGATTTCTTAATGGCCCAAATCCAAATTCCTTAGGAGGCACAAAAAAGTGATCCTGTCATTCTTCCAAGTAGTGTCTAACCCTCTTCGCGTGCTATGGGAATTCAGTCACATGACCTTCACATGAGCCCCGCCCCGCCCACCCGTTACTTGCTGTGAATGATACAGTTCCTCAGCATGAACTGCAAAAGGATGCACTTGTGCCAAAGTGTGCCTCCCCTGAGCTGTCCATGCTCGTTTATCATCTGGCTCATCAAATCCAGGCACCTTAGCATAAAATTTGTTTTGCCAGCAAATTCCCCTGGAGACAAAACTCTTATCAGTCACTCCTTAAAACACTATATTGGCTAACATCCCAATGCCTCTGCACTGAGGGTTCAAAAATGAGATCATACCCCTCCCTAAAATGAAATGCTCAAATGCCTTCAACTCTCACATGAAATCTCATCTCCTTGGCGTGATATAAAAATCTGATCATATTATCTTTACCATAAAAATCTACTTTTGTAGCTCTGCTGAAATGCATAAGTTTGATCATGTAACTCAATTTGAAACTTTTCAAGCTTTCTTCATTGCCTTGTAACATAAAGTCCCAACTACTTAACATAAAATGCAACGTTTTACCATGTAATTTATCTTCAGACTGGTCTATAAAAAAACCTAAATCTCACCCCGTCATTCTTTTAAAGCCTTTATTGGCTTAAATCCAAACTTATTAGCATGATATAAAAATTCGATCTTGTCATCCCTTAAAATAAAATTCACACTTCCTAGCACAGTATATAAAATCTGATCCTGTAACTCTGCCTTAAACTCACACACTCCCTCTCTCAGTTGGGGAATTATGGAATAAAAGGCCAAGTTCTTAGCATAAAATGTGAATTTTATTTTATAATTTCACTGCATACTGTTTATCAAATACAAAGAAATATCATGATGTCCCTCTCTTAGAACTTTATTGGCTAAAATCAAATTTCTAGGCGTGTGGAAGAATCTAATCATGTCAGTGCCTGGAAATAGATTCCAAATATTTTTGCATATTCCCAATGTTGATCATGGAAGTCCCCTGATTGAAATCTCTCAGCTTTGGTGCCAACATCAATCAAACCTTCTTGGCATGTTCCCAAAGTCAGACATTAGCATCCCCTCGACCCATAAAGTCCAAATGTTTTTAGCATGATGCGTAATTTATGGCTGTTCCTTTTCATGTTATAATTTTCAATGTTTCCTCATTGCCTATAATGTCAGAGTCCAAAGCCATTGGCCTTAAAATACATTTTATCATGTTTATCTGCAGACTTTATCTCCCACAACAAAATCCTCACCACATTTCTTAAAACCCTTTGGCAGGAACCCAAACTCTTTAGTATGATTTAAAAGTTTGATTCTGTCACTGATCAAAATAAAGTCCAGATTTCTTCCGCCAAGCCCCCAAATCTATTCATGAAAGCCCTGCTTAAAATCTTTTCATGAATCTCCATCACTGACAAAATACCTGGACATCTTAGCATGATACCGATTTACTGGTGGTATTCTCAGTTTAAAACCTTCCCTATTTCACGTCCCCAACACAAAACCCAAAGGCCTGAGCGTGGAATGAAAATTGCACCAAGTGTTCGCTAAGCTGGAAAATCTTCACGATGCTCTTCGCTACTCTGGATACAAAGCCTAAGCTTTAGCCCCCATTTCTCCTCATACTTCGCAGGAAGACTTGGTATCCTACTTCTTGCCCCCAAACAAATCTTGATTTTATTGCCTCCAGGTCTTTTTATATTTTGAAGCTGGTACCTCTGTGTGTAGTTCATTAATTCATACAGCGGCATGTCCTGATTCTTTTTTCTAGGACAGCCACTGGATCCTGGGGGTAAAGAAATGGAGGCAGCCTCGCCTTGCTGGACGTCTGTCATCAGCAAGGAGGTGGGGACCACGCCCTTGCGGTTTCATGCCATGCTGGAGGTGAGCGTGGGGTTTGGGGGGCAAGACTGGGAGGTCTCCCTTCCACCCCTGGTGAGCGTATCCTTTCAGGGTTCTCTGGGCTCAGCTGTTCATCCTTTGGTGAGGACTTTGGGGCCTTGGGACCATCATTTCTGAAGGTGGGGT